TCCTTTGTTATGTGGTCTGTCTGTGGCCTCTTCAGTGCTTTGGGAGCCATGGTCTACGCTGAATTGGGGGTCACAATACCACGCTCAGGAGGAGAATATATTTATATTCTGCACTCATTTGGGCCTTTGTTAGCATTCCTCGCTTTGTGGATAACTTTTGTGTTCATTGGCGCCGCAAGTTCCGCAGCCAATTCTCTAATATTTGCAGAATATCTGCTGCGTCCGTTTTACTTCGATTGTGAGATTCCACCTGAGGCCAAGAAATTGGTTGCTGTCCTTGGATTACGTAAGTTATGGTACAATTCGTTCATTTCTTTCTTTAGTAACCTTGGTCTTCATCAATTGTTACAAAGTCACTTGGGCTACAAAACTATCTGTTGTTTTCACCGCTTGCAAGATTTTCGCGCTTCTTCTGATAGTTGGTTTTGGTGCCTATTATCTCGCCCGAGGTAGACCAAAGTGTTTTTATAACGTTTTGCTCAGGTAACGTTAGCAGCTTCACAGATGCATTTGAAGACAGCGCAACCTCTCCCAGTGCACTGGCGTTGTCGTTTTACCAAGGATTCTGGGCGTTTGCCGGATGGTGAGTCGCAGTTTGATTCTGTTTAGGCATTGCTTGTGTCCTATCTGAAGGATGTCAACTCTTGATCCCGACTTCGTTATTCGATTTTAACAATCCTCTTAGCGTAAAGTGTTTAGTGTAAACTAGGTCGCTGCATCAATTTCTCGGCATGTAGCGTTCTAGAATAATCAAGTTTTGGTCAGCAATAAAAGCTGCTCTCACTGAGAAAATGTCAAAAGTACATATTCGTTATTCTTTGTAAAACGCTAGATAATCTCAATTACCAAGGTGCTTGCGAAAGTGAGAAACGGCCTCTAGTCCCTTGAGCTTTCGATATCGAGGATTTTCTGAATCTCTCAGACACTACCCCTGGGCGGTACACTCACCGCAGTTCCTTACGGGTCACTATTGTGTCTATCATTCATTAGTGATTTACCAGTGTTTTTTCACCTATCGGTACTTTTAAGGAATACTGGACTCCTCAGTCAAACATTGTGCATTTACCTTACAAGAGTATCTGAATCCTTTAACGAGGTGGTCCCACACCAAGAACTTCTTATTCAGTCCCTAGTAATGCACCGGGCTCTAATGGCCTTCCTCCAGCTCTATTTAAAGATGGAATTTCGCTTGTTAGAGAATTACAAGTTCTGTTCTCTACAGTTTGGAACATCGTGCGGGTCCCCTTCTCCTGGGGGAATCGATTGTCCCCATCTTCAAAAAGGGCCCGCGCAATGACTGCGCTAATCACAGGGGTATACACCTTATCCAGATAGCGTCAAAGCTGTTGGCGTCCGTCATTCTCCGCCGATTGTGCACTGATCACGAGGAGCGGGCTCCCTTCGCGCCGGTTATGGATGCATCGATCAAATTTCCACCCTCCGACAGCTGCTAGAGCAACATCATGCCTATCAAAGACCAACGATCATTGTATTCCTAGACATCCGTGCGGCCTTTGATTCCGTCGGTAGGACCACACTCTGGAACTGTTTGCTGAGGAATGGAGTACCTGAGAAGTGTCGATCCTCAAAGAGTTGTATCGCCATACCTCAGGTCGGGTTAGGACCTGTGGCCGACTTTTGCTACCCTTCGCCGTCTCCAGTGAGGTTTGGCAAGGCTTCCCTATTTTCCCATTCCTTTTTAACTTTGTCATAGAGGATGTTCCATAAAATACTTTATCCGGTCTAGCAAACGGTGGAGTCGAACTCCTCCCAGGAAACTTGACTTAGAATGTGACGATGACATCGCCTTGCTGGGTGACAATACACAAACAGTCCAACAGGCTTCGAACCGCTTGGCGATCGAGGTTTCCAGGTGTGCTTCGCACCTTCCAAGTGCAAAGTGTTTGTTCAAGTCTGGCAGGAGCCTGTGCCAGCACTCACCCTCTATGGTGATCAGCCAGAAGTAGCTAAGAGCTTTAAGTACCTCGGGAGCTTGATCACAACTGGTGGTTGTGTTGTAGAAGAGATCACATCACGAATAGCGAAAGCTATAGCAGCTTTCGCCAACCTGCGACACCTGTGGCACTGCCGTGATATCCGATTTTCCCTTAAGGGAACGGTGTACATCGCCGCGATCCGTAGTTTCCTGCTTTACGGTTGCGAAACCTGGCCTCCGCGTTGAGGATTCTAATCGACTTTCTGTATTCGACTACTGATGCCTCCGAAGCATTGCTCGTGTCTGTTGCGAATACCGGGTGAGTAATGACGAGGTTCACCCGGCGTTGCAAACAAGGTTATTGTGATGAAAATACGCTTCCTGGGTACAAGTNGAATGAACTGACAAAAGATTACCGGATACGCATGTCTGACGAGCGGCAAGAACCGCGAAACCGGTCGTGTGCTTCCAGGGAAATTTTGTCCAGTCATTCACATACTACTTATTATCAAATATACATATACATATATGTATATATAACACCGGCTTGAGATCAAGCTTGGTGCCAACGCCATGACAATATTAACAATAACGAGCGGGGGGAGGGGTTAGGGTACAGAGTATAAGAAAAGAATGTAGCTGGCTGAATGGGAGATTACGAATAAGAGGAACAATTTTTTGGGGTTTTTCACCGCACACATTTTGAAGTATAAAAAAGCTGGCTTCGGTTGGTGCAGACTGAACAGCAGGTCCTCGTGATTGTGGGGTTTATCCGTTCTGCTGTTCATCACATAAAAGTGTGTAATAAAGAAGTTCATGCTAAGGATTTGGCCAAACATGAATGAGAAAATAGGTTTAAGTGAATTCCAGTTGTGTTTTTCTTGATAGTCATTTTCAGAAGACACTTACAAAACCCATCTCTAATCAAGAATTCACATAAACTCATGGTTTCTTTGAAATCTGTATATGGAAATTTACGTCAATGTTTTGTTCAGACAAGAATATCGACATATGTTCTTAGGGTTTTCTGTGAATGTTTAATTTCCTTCCCACAGATCACAGTTTTCTACTCAATTTGAAGCAGTTCTCATCTTGCCAATAGGGAGAATAAGTGCTTGTACTGCATGATACACCAACATTTTAACGCAACTAATGCTTAGCTTGGAGAATTGATAATTTGCAATTATAAACATTATCGTATCTGATCATTTTTTATCTTAGGAATTACCTCAATTTTCTGACCGGTGAAGTGAAGAACCCCGCCAAGTAAGTCACACATGATTTCACCCTCAGCTATTTCAACCATAAAACGACGAATATTGCTTTTATTAAAATACTATCGGTATCTTTTTCCAGGAATCTACCGATTATTATAATTATTTCCCTGACCATCGTCACCATTATCTACCTACTCGCAAATGTTGCCTACCTCGCCGTCCTTTCACCGTTCGAAGTGTTGTCTTCGGGTGAGGGCTCGGCTGCTGTGGCTGTGGTAAGTTTTTTTCGTATATTATTCTGACTGCGCTTTGTTGGCTGCCCAGTTCCTAAATTACATGAATTTGTTCAAATGCCGTTTCGGCTGATGTTCAGTTTTGATCAAAATTCGTCTTTGTACATCTATTTGGAGAGCGTCCGATCTATCTGAAGAGTGTGCCGTGTTTGGTCAGACATTGACTTTGGAAAAAAAATTTAAACTTCCCCATTGGTGGGCTTTTAACTTTTAACACTCTTCAGGTTAGCCTAGTGTGAGCAGAGTAATCGATTGCACTTTCAGGGCAGGAGTTGACTCTTGCAATATTGGTAGACAGGTTCTTGGTCGTCCAGGTCCTACTGTATTAGAATACTAGCTTAGGTCACTGACTAGAATGGGTAAGCAGTCGATCCTCGTGACTCCGGGGCCTGCTCCATCTGGTCTTCACTTCACAGAGGCGTGCAGTAGAAAATCTGTTAGTGAAGGTTTGAACTGTTTTCTCCCTAAGCGCAGCTACCTTGGCTGAGGACCCATTGTAGACTCGCTGTCATTGGTCAACATCTATGAACAGCGGACCATGCTCTGCTATAAACACAATTACTCTTGCACCTGTTAGAAAACAAAAAACGGGAAACAGTTGCCCACAAGACAGTGTGTGATATTTGCAAATCGGCTTTTGAAGCGGGACTCTGGGCATCTTCCTGTTGGATCAACCGCCGAAAGACTCAATGAATCAAAATGTCGATCAAGGCAACGGCGAATTGTGGTGTACGATAGAAACAAAACCAGTGAATCCAATCGACCTCAGCTGCCTTGCTGAACACCCGCAGAAACATTTCTTCTGATGCCAAATATGACAGCGCGTAAATCTCTTCAAAGCCAGCTCATCAAGTGTCCGAGGAACGACCGCAAGAAAGTGTAGAAAGATACAGAATTCTGTAGCTTTCGGTAGTAATCGCAATCTTTTTCGTTTAATTAGGAATGTAGGTTCAAAAAAGTAGCCTTGAGTTAATGAAGAAGTCTGATGTCACACTGATACATATTCAGCAACGCAGTCTTAAACAGTGAGCTATACAGTTCAAGGCCAAGTTCAACTGGCCTCCATCGACATTGGATCTTTCAACCCCTACCTGGACTAGGCAACCACTGCCAGTTGACATCATTTCAGTTTTTACAACCATTAACCATGCGCCGGCTTTGGTTGCTGTCTTTTGGTGCCCTATTTGAATAAAACAGCAAAATGAAGATTGGAATGTTGAAAGCAAATTCAAGCGTGAGATGAAGAATTCATATAGAATGGTGTTAGGAGAATAATGAGTGGATGCACAAGCACCACCGTTTACGACACCCAACCATATCACTCAGTGTATCCAACCATCGATGATCATCATCCCGAGGTCCCCAGCCAGGGAGCCTAACGGTGTGACCTAGTTTCCTGGTTAGGGTTTTCATACCCTCATGCCAGGTCTTTGAATGATCACCCTTGACCGTTTTCCAACCGCGACCTGCCTCGACAAACATCGCTCACCGTGGCAACCTATTTGGTGACATGCGTAAAACATGCTCCAACGAACGTAATCTATAGAGGTCGACCACTTGCTCCAGTGGACGACCGCGACCGGTGTTCGTCAGGATTGCCCTCTCTATCTCCCTATTTAACTTCGTTATATACTTGATTATGGAGTGCGAGTACAGTGGCGTCAATTTTCTCCTAGATGGTAGACTGTTCGATCTAGAGTATGCAGACGACATTCTAGAACGTCGTAGTTGAAGATCCGAGTAATTTGCAAGCCCGTACAGGGTGTTGTGAGTTTAGTTTGTTTCACACAATCGGTAATTTTGCACTTTCGTACGACGGTTTCGGTCGCTGAGGTTTACCACGGTGTTTCGCTGCTATATAGTTTCGTCGAATCGTCAGTTATTCAAGCCAGATCGAGGACTCGACTTCATTGGTTTGGGAGAGGAGGTTGACTCTCGCCCAATTATCTACACATGAAAAATACAATTCTTTTTTGATAGACTATTCTGATTTATTCGCATCGTCATTCCTTTCTCTTTCATAAGTCAGATATAAAATATCCTGCCTCCTACACCAACCCAGGGATTGGGTAATGGTGTCGCATGCGGCTTGAACATATGCGCACCCCAATATTTGATTTTTTCTATTCTCTCCTCTCTTATGTTTTTGTCTGTTGCATCATCAATCCCTCTCTTGCTTTAAATTGAATAGACTTTTGCCTCGCGTTGCATGGGTGTAATGGCTTGGATCATGCCAGTATTTGTCGGTGCATCCGTCTTTGGGAGCACAAACGGGGAGGTCCTGTCCATGTCTCGGTAAGTCCAATTTTCACTTGGTGTTCCTTCCTTGTTTTGTTGACTACAGCTGTAAATGCGTGGTCAAATCAGTAGATCAGCTGTAAAACCGTTTGATATTTTCCCCATGCACTGGTATATCTGTAATGAAGGCATCAATTTTGGTAGACTCATTTCAAAATCAACCTAACCCTCAAAATGTTATCCACGCTTCATTTCTGTTCTCATCCCACTCGCCGCGATGCACTTATGAGTTTTGATTTGCTATTTAATCGGTGAATCTGTTCATAAGACGTCGTTTATAATCCGGTGTTTGCTAATCGTGTTCTCTGATTTGTTGGGGCCCCTTGTTGTTTTCGCTATGATTCCGTCTGCATCACGTCACCGATTTAGTATGGCTTCATTATGAAAAAAGCGTTTGATATGTATAATAAGTAGTGTTTGTCTGACCGGACAAAATATTCCATGAAAGGCAACTAATTAGGCAGTATTTGCTGCTCATCGTCTGTGCGTCTGCGCGTATATTTATGCTCGTGAAGTATATTTCATTATGAATGCTCATCTTCAACCGATTACCAGATTCTTATGAGGGATCGGCGACCAAACCCACCAAATAGGTTGTGTCTTTTCTTAGAAATTATAACCGTGTCATTCAAGTATCACTTGATGCTATATGAGCCTCAGGAATAGTCCCTCCGAGCAAGTTACATGAGCTTGACACAGAATACTTTGCATTGATTCTCTTTTTGAATGCAGAAGAAGAGCCTACTCGGAGAGATGCGAATAAAATATTGCTAGGAAGATGTCTAAGGGGCTTTCCTACACTTTTTCGAGTTCTTTTTTAAACAACCGAACTTATATACAACTGTAATAGAATCGGGGCACGATCTGGACTCAAATAGGTGTAAAGTACGATAAGTAAGAACTCATCAATGTTACACTACGGTTCTGTTAGTCAGAAAGGAACCGCGAATGACTGATGGATGCTGGTATGTTCGTGCTGGCGAATTCGATGATTCTGTGTTCATAAAATTATCCATTCTTTCATTTGCATGACC